CGACTGAGTTAGGGGTGCAAATGATTGAGTTGGATCGGGTTTTAGCTCAATCTAGGCCCAACCCTAAGAATAGGACCTAAAGCCCAAGCTAGACCTGAGCCCAAGGTAAAACAATAATTGCATATAATCTATATCCTATATTAAAATGCAAAATGCTAAGTTGGCATTTCCCTTGCTAAAAAAAGTTGTCACTTTCCTACTCTATGGTTTATTCTCAAAGTCACTTATCTTTTTTTCTGCTTTCTTCTCAGTTCTCAAAGGCACCTATCTTTTTTCTCTTTTCTTTTGAATTTTTCTAATTTTAAATTTGAACAAAATAAATCAAGTGGCCAATCACCTTTAAGAGTTTTAACACTTATCATTAAAACACCATTCTCTCTCTCTCATGAACTCTTTTAATAATATCTCATCATTAATTATGGCATTAACTCTCTCCTTCAATAACTCATCTCGCTAATTCTCTCTCATCTCCATTACTCCATTAAATTTCATAAAATTCAAAAACTTTATCTATCTATCTATCTATCTATATATATATAGAGAGAGAGAGAGACACACACACACACACACACACACACACACACACATATATATATATATATATATATATATATATAATAAACATGTTTGCACTAAACTTTAATTATCAATAAAGATTAATTATATTGAAATTGAGATATCAAGGATATATTATTGCGCTAAATAGTCTACTCTCATTTAAAATTATAATCCATTTATATTCCATTTCAAAATAATAAAAATAATTTAGTAAGTTACTTAAATAAAATAAAAATAATTATTAATTATTGTTATTGATAAAAAAATATTTCTATCAATATAATAAAAATAACTTAATTGATAAAATGAATAAGATGTAATAAAAATGAATATCAATTTAAAATTAATATAAAACTAATACAAAAATATCTAACAATTAATAGTTTTATAATTACATTTTTTAATTTAAAACCAACTTAAGTTCCACTAAAAAATAAAAAATTATATAGTTAATTAAATTTCATAAGGAATTTAAATTTAAGAAAACTTAATATACTTAAATAAATTCAATTTTTACTAATTTAAAAAATTAATAAAAAATATTAGTTTTAAAAAATAGTTTAATTATTTTAAAATAAATTTAAATTCCATTTAAAAATAAGGAAAATTATAAAAACCCCTACCTCAACAAAAACCTTCCCTGTTGTTTTGAAAAATGGTGCAAATACCTTGCTATGGTCAGCATTCCAAATAAAAAATGTTGATGTAATACATTAATTTTATTTCACTTCAGCCTTTTTAAATTTGTCCAAGAAGAGTAAGGATAATTATTCTTTGAAAATTGTCTAGAAAAATAGATTAGTGGAGGTTAAAGTTGAAACTTTAAATTATATATGTTAATGCATTAACAATGATATGGGTATTTTTGTAACTTTAATATCTTTGTTACCGAAGAGCCAAGGGAAAAGAGGTATTTGCATTTTTTTTCTCAAAACTATAGGGGGAGGTCTTTATTAGGGTCAAAACACAAAGGTGGTTTATAGAATTGTTATAAGAGGATTTTTTATAATTTGACCTAAAAATGGTAAAAAACTAATAATAAGTCAATAAAAATTAACATAAACCCTTTTTCAAAAATTAATAAAAATTAGCATTAAGATGCAAAATAAATAAATAAATTTATCTAGAGAATAGGAAATTGGCCACTCTCGCTAAAACATAACTTAGATTGTGATCGAATAAACTAAACATAACCCCAAAACATAATACTTGAATTGAACTTAGATGAACACCATGTAATTGGAAATGCCATAGAGCTCCATCTTCAATTTTGCTGATAAATAAAGTCCATGTGTCACAAGGGTCATGCCTAGTATTCTTTAAACCAAAAAGATAAACAAGAAACGGTTGCAGAATGGGATAATGTGTGATATGGAGGAAACTCCCAAACAGCCAAGGTGTTCTCAAAATGATGCATGTTATGATATTCAAATCCTAATAATCAGTGTTCACATGTCCGTTGAGCATAAAGAAAAAAAAAAAATCCTTTTGACGTGGCAATATATTTTTGTGCGCATGATGCCAGTTTTTTGAAAAAAATGGTGCCATATCAGTACCATGTCTGAAACCCATTTTTTCAGACCACTTTGATGTTTAATTATACATTTTTCAAGAAATATTTATCAGACCATGACTTTTAAATTAAAAATTTTAAATAATATGTTAACGTGTCATTGAAAAACGCTTGTATAAGAATTAGGATCTATTTCTCATAGAGCACTCCTCACACCAACCTCGCAACTGCATCCTATTATGCAATGGGAACATCTCTTATGAATAATAACATACAAGTACGAGAGGTGTTCCCGATGTGTGGCTGGTACATGTTGTAAGGTCGGTGTCAGGAGTGGATCTAGACTCCTATATATCAAGAAAAAAAAAAAGAAAAAATCTGGAAATGACATTGGTTCAAACAATCAAACTTCAAACAGGACCCGTGAGATGCACAAGCCCTATTTATCAGAAAAATTGAAGATGGAGCTATGTTGCACTTTCAATTAAATGGTGTCCATCTAAGTTCAACTCAATTATTATTTTTGGGTTATGTTTAGTTTATCCGATCACAATCTAAGTTCCGCTTTAGTAAGAGTGGCCAATTTCCTATTCTCTAGATAAATTTATATTATTTTTTCTATCTTAATGCTAATTTTTATTATTTTTTGAAAAATGTTTTTTTATTAATCTATAATGGTTTATTATTATTTTTATACTATTTTAAGTAAAATTATATAAAAAAATCCTTCTAAACCACATGTTTTGACCCAAATAAAGGAGGCCCTAAGGCTCCGTTTGGTTTGTGGGAAGATTTGGGTGGGATGGGAAAAAATGGGATGGGATGGGGTAGGAAAGTGTAAAAATTTCTCCATTGTTTGGTTTTATATATGGGGAAATAATGGGAAAAGCACTGTGACGAGCTACTTCTTCGTCGAATTCATGTAAGGTGAAGAAGAGAATTCCATGACTGCAGCGGCGATCAGAGAGAGAGAGAGAGAGAAAATGAGGGATTCAAAAAACAATGGATGGTTGGAGAAACTAGTCAAAACCAGTGAAACAGTTGTCGGAGACGGTAGGAATGATGGAGTATAGCCGTTGTGGGGTGCTCTATTTCACCAAGAGGAAGACGAACAGTAGTTCGTCGACGGAAAGTGAATCTGATGAACAGTGTTGCTGGTCACCATTGGAAATCGAATAGTGCCGTTGGAGACAATAGTTCGCCAACGGAAAGCGAAGACGATGAACGGAGAGGTACTAGAGGGTAAATGATCCTGGTCGCCGCCGCTGGTATTTCCTATGTTCGTTGTTGAGAAGATGATGAATAATGCTTTTTTTGGGTGTAAAACAAAAGACGGAAGAAGAAGAAAAAGAAGAATAGAGGAGAGAGGGAGGAAGGGAGTGGCTGAGAAGGGGGTGCCGCCGCAGCTGCTCTACTTCTAGGTTCGAATGGGGAAGGGGAGGTAGCAAATTGCCGATGGTAACGGGGAAGGCACTGGTTCTCTCCCTCCTCTATTCGTCGTCATTGGTTCCCTCCTCTGTTTGTCGTCAATGGTAACAATGGTTTCTCAAATTTTCCCATCAGAATCGCATGGTTTTGGTACAACCCCAAATCCACGATTTTGAGATCTTACATCTCACATATTTCTAGTCCCATCCCTCTATCTCCCTCAAAACAAATGAGATAAAAAAGGAATATTTTTGAAATATTCACTTTTTCTCATCCCATCCGATAAACCAAACGGAGACTAATAGTTTTGAGGAAAAAAAAGTGCAAAAATAATAATAATGGTAAGAGTTGCATAACTCGTTGTTTATTGGCCTTTCTCGATCTTAAATATCTGCAAACGACAACTCGAAGAAACACTTCTTGTTCAACTGGCAAGGTTCGTTGGCTGTTTTTGGATTGAGCTCGATCTATAGCCATGGTAAACGAAACTCACCCCTTCTTATTTCTTCATTCCTCCACGAATCTTAAAACGACCGTGCAATTGTAGTTTTCTTAATTTCGATAGAGCATTTCTTTGATCAGATCAGCAATTGAATCGTTCTTCACGATTTTGAATCTCGCTTCCGATACCCTGCTTTTGATGGATCAAATTTTGTTCTTTTGCGCGTTTTAGTTCCTAAGAGGATCTGTAATTTTGCATTCCAGATTCTGCAACCATTTTTTCCAGTGCTCGTTATGCTTTAAAGATGACTGGAAATTTTCTTTTAACTTGATTTTAAGCCCTAGTTCTGGATAATTTTGTTCATCTATTTTATTTTCTCTCACTTGGATCTGAAATTTCATTCCGAACATTTTCATCCCGACGGACGTTCATTTCTTTGCCGGATCTGCCCTATGAATGAATGTTTTTTCTTCTTTTGGGAGCTGGATTACAAACCCCAATTTCCTTATTTGTTTCTCCATTTTTTTCTGGTAAATGTTGTGTGTGTATTTGATTTTAATGTTGTTCATTATCCGTTTAACATGCCTTGATATGTTAGACCTTAGAAGTAAATTCGAATTCCCCTTGGTTCCTTATGGATTTATAATCTTCAGCAAACCAGTAATGGATGTTTTAAATAGGAATTCTATTGCATACCCTATTTTGCAAAAAAAACGAGTCATGGACATCCAGAATGAGAAGCTATATTGACAAATTAATTCGTTATTATAAATGTTTAAGATCTGCTCATGAACTGTGCATGTCGAGTCAGTTGTTTCCTTTTCGTTAACAACATCCTGAATCATTTAGTAGGGAAATTTAACATAATTTACTACAAATCTGCAAAGCTCTTTGAATGTTTATATTGGAAAATAAGGGGCTTCTCACAAGGATTCCTTTTCCCTTTCTTCCTCTTTCCTTTCCTATACAATGACATAGACATGATATCCATACTGGGTTGCGTAGTTAGCATATTCAAGTGGGGTTATGGGTACACAACCTGCAATGGGGAAATTGGGAATACCATAGAGTCATTTTGAAGAAACTCTCCAGCAAATGTGTAACAATGCATAGTAGATTGGAGGCCTCCCTTTTGAGGTTCATACAATTTTCAGTTATATCTCTTTTATTATAGATGCCTTAGAGAGCAAAAGACCATGCCTTAATCTTTGTTTGGAACTTTGGATTGGTAGTATTTTTGTTCAGGTTAAATTAGGCTTTTGCAGTGATTTTTTTTTATTTTTTATTTTTTGCAAGTTGAAGGGGCTAGAAGAGCTTGGGGTAGACCAAAAAGGGCAGGAGTAGAGGTAGTAAGGAATGATTTAAGTGCCAATAGTTTAACAATTGATATGACATTAAACAAAACAAACAGGATTTGTGAAGCCAATAAATTAAGAATTGAAATGGCTTGGATGATGATGATGAATCAAATTGAGATTTAAATTATATCCAATGTGAAAAGGCTTCAGCTGAAGTCTGGATCAAATTTGCATATGAAATTGCTTGGTTGGTTTTGAACCATTTAAAAAGTTACATGGTAAGACTTACTTTGATGTACTAGCTAGAGCATGTGTCAAGTGCCTATACCGTTTTTTTATTAGATTGAATAAAACCTAACCGGGTTCCTTTTCAGGCTTTAGTTATTCTCATTATTTGTCCACTGCCATTTAGTCACGAGACCTTTTTTGTTTCTTTTTCTTAAATGATGAATAACATTCATGTTCTAGAACATTCAGGCTGGATTTGCTGTAGCAAAGTAGCTGGAGTTGAAATAGCATTGAGGCTTGATTTTCTGTAGCTGGAATTGAAATAATTTTTTTGTGGCTTCCTCACTTGAGATTATTTCTTTAAATTAGTAATTTGAGAGTTTCTTGGACTAACATGTTTTACTTGATCATTTGTTTCTCTGGGAAGTATTTGGTTACACTACGTGTGTCCTTGACATAGGGTTCCACCAATAAGAGACTATTTGTTGTTTCGCTTGAACAATTTATTCAGGTTAAAATCTCATTTTCATTTCAAATGAATAGGCTTATACATTTGAAAGATATTTCTGGTTTCCTCTTGCATGAAAGATATTTCTTATTTGCTTCCTTACTTGGATCAGATGATACATTATTTTATAAGAATTCTTACTAAAAGCTCAAAGGAAATGTATTTCTTTCAATAGCCATTCACTTGTACCTTCCTTTCTCTTATTCTAGGATTGTGTATAGCTAGGAGATATGGGAAGCTTGCAGAACTAATATATGCTTTTGCATTTTTTGCAGATTCACTTTGTTCTTCTTATTAGTCGACAAGGAAAAGTGAGGTTGACAAAATGGTATTCTCCTTATTCACAAAAGGAAAGAACAAAAGTAAGTTCTTTTCTTTATTTTTTTGATCAATAACAATGAATTTTATTAATGACTGAGAAATTCAGAATTACAAAGGAATGAGCTAAAAAATCTTAACTCCTTACTATCCAAAGTACACCCAAACCATGAAACAATTACAAAACAGCCCAAAAGATAGAGTTTCTATTCACCCATGCCTAGCTAGCCCATCTGCCAATGCATTTGCACTTCTTTTTATCCATGTACACTGAATTTCCGTGTCCTTAGTGAGCCACTTGAACTTCCTCCTTTCATTGCTGTATTTCCAGAGCATAGAGCTGTCATCTTTTAACCAATTCACCACAATTTCAGAATCCCCTTCTATGATTAATTTTTTAATATGCATTTCCTTGACCCTTTGTATCCCTTAAAGAGCTCCTAAAATCTCAGTCCTCAGGGAATCACCCACTCCAATTGGACCAGAAAACATAGCTAATAAATTCCATCACTCCCCCTGTTCCAGATGGCCCTGGATTGCCCATGCTGCCGCCATCAAAGTTCAGTTTGGTAAACCCATGAGGTGGAGGTGCCCAACAAGAACTTGAAGTCTTCTTAATTGGAATTGAATTTGCAATCTCCTTTCAATGCCTTTTCACCTCATCAACTGAGAACACTGTAGACAATTCCAAGGTTTTCAACCAATGTATCAGCCTTATGTGGATAGTCTCTAAGATTACTTCCAAGCTTCTCTCCTTATCTGAGAATGTCCTTGAGTTTCTCTCCTCCCAAACAGTCCAACATACTGCAGTCCTTACACATCTCCACATGATCTTGGCCCTTTTTGTTTGCCAATCGGGCATGGAAGTTGTTAGAGTTAGCCGAATAAGGGTAGATTAGTCACTCACCTTGGTTAAGTTATGAGCTTATGTGGCAGTCTTATTAGAGGTTCTCTGTCCCATACTTAAGTAGGGGYVGYTTAGTMCTTGTACATTTAATTAGAAGCCTAATCACTATTAAGAGGTCGACTGATAGGGTTTAGCTATCAGGTTCGACAGTTCTTTCATCTTCTTCTTCTTCTTCTTCTTCTTCTTCTTCTTCTTCTTCTTCTTCTCTTTCTCTTTCTCTTTCTTCTTCTCCTTACTGGTTCGGACTACTGTAGCTACAGTAGAAACAAAAGTGAATAAACTTTGCATATTCAAAGGGGGAGTCCACCTGCACCCAAACAAAGAAGTAAACTATTCCCAAATAACTTTAACAAACTGACAAGAAATTAGTAAATAGTATCCAGACTCACCATCAGATTAGCAGAAGACACACCAGTGAGGGGACAAACAACTATTGGGTCTTTTTCTTTGAAGTACATCCCCTGTATTAACTCTTTCCAGAAAGGCTTCCCAACAAAAACTCCCAACCTTTGGAGGTATAGGTTGACACCACACTTCTTTAGCAGGGAATGACAGTCCAATAGGAGGAGGAGGTAAAAGGACCTTAAAGAAAGAGGCACAAGTATAAGCACCCGAGGGAGTGAGTGTCCAGATTCTATTGTTTGTCTTTGATGGCTCCAAGAAAACCCCTTCAAGAGAGGATAATAAGGCTAAGATACAGTCTAACTTTGTATCCCTGACATCCCTTCTCAAACCCAGATTCCAACTGAAACCGGAGGGTGAGTTAAAAGGTACAAGGAAAGAGGAAACTGGTTCATTTTTAAGGGTAGAGATAGCAAAGATGCTTGGAAATTGGCCCTTCAAAGAGGAATCCCCAACCCATACATGTTTCCAAAAATTAATAAGATTACCTGAGTGCAAATCATACCTGATCCATGGGAAGAACAAGGGCAATATAGTTTGAATAGCTTTCCATGGAGATGCTCTTGTAATCCGTGCTAAGATCCCAAAGTCCCATCCATTTTCTTTGTTTGTGCCATTACTGCTATTTATCTAAAAATGCATTTAACAGTATCATCCTAATTATATGGATTTTTAGATAGAAATATATGGCAACATCTAGTTCCCTGACAACCATGGTTTTTCTAGTCATCTAAGCCTTTCTTCTGTTGATTTGTAATTTGGAAAATTTATTCTGACATGTATTTGGGATGATTCTGTTGTGATAGTCTGTTTGCGGGTGATGCCTCATCACCTGATAGGTTGCATTTTATTTTCTTTTTTAATGAAAATTTATTTTGACCATTAAAAAAAGCCTTTCTTCTGTTGATGATTATGTTCAGATGCAACTGCCTCTATTTTGTATGTTTCTTCTAGTAAATTGATAAGTAATAGAACATTTCTCTAATTCTAATTTTGAGAAGCACAAAGCAGCTTCGAAACAACAAGACTCCTTCATATGCCAGAAATAGGTTGGTTCATCTAATTGACCCAGGGACCTTCTTGGTGGCAACATGTTTTAGGAACCGAAAGAGCTGATGCGGCCATCTATCTACTGATCTATCCTCTACTCATGGAATAATTTTTTTTTCTTAAAACCATTGATTGTTTTCCCAAAATAAGCACTTTGGTTAAAAAGGTCAATGGAAGCTTGGGTGCAGGCCAATGTGGACTGGGGGATTTAATACATGGGTAGTTCATATATTATCTGGTTCATTGTATAATGATTAAGATTGGCCACATTGCCCATCCATGTCGAAGAAAAGGGTAGGTCATGTAGTGAAGATTTCTAATTGGCCCAATTAGGGTTTTTTTTTTAGGTGTTTGTGTGTGTGGGTGGGGGACTACATACCTCTCGGACAGTTTCACAATGAAATTCTATAACCGGGGATGGCATTTTATCAGACAGTATCTGTTGAAGGTTTTTGAAGGGTTCCATGCAAGGGCTGCTTTGGAAAGGTGTCTTAATTCAACCTTTATTACCCTGGTCCCAAAAAAGGAAGGGGCCTTAGAGCTGAAAGATTTTAGGTCCACCAGTCTCTTGGGTAGTGTATATAAAATCCTTGCAAAAGTTTTAGCCACAAGGCTGAAAAAAGTGATGGGCCAAATTATTTATCCTTCAGTCCTTCCCAAGGAGCTTTTGTGGCAGGGAGACATTCTTGATGGAGTTCTTATTGCTAATGAGTTGGTCGACTTGCGGAAAAGGGAAGGTAGAGAAGGTCTAGTCCTCAAGGTGGACATAGAAAATGGTTTTGATCATGTTAGCTGGAGTTTTCTGGACTATATGTATACTGAATAGAATGAATTTTAAATCCAAATGGAGAAGTTGGATCATGGTTTGTGTTACCACACCCACCTCTATTCTCTTCAATGGTGTCTCTTGTGGAATTTCAAAAGCTCAAGAAGCTTAAGGCAAGGAGACCCTTTGTCTCCTTTCCTCTTCAATATAGTGCGGGAAACTTTGGGCAAGCTCGCACTTGTAGGGCAGTAGCTGGTGGATTTATCAAGGGTTTAGAGTAGGCGAGGGTATAAAACAGATCTCTCTACTTTAGTTTGCTGATGATACCTCTCTCTCTCTCTCTCTCTCTCGTGATGCTTCAGCTGATCAATTGACATGTTTTACACTTTTACTCTAAGATGGTTTGGAGCTGTTTTGGGCCTCAAAATCAATCTCTCTAAGAGTGAAATAATGTTGACAGAGGAATGAGTTTCAGATACCTGGATGGCTAACATTTTGGGCTGCAAACTTGGGCTTGCCTCTTGGTGTAAAAAGTAACTCTAAGAGGACTTGGGATTCAGTCATTGAAAGATTTGATAGGAAATTGATCATGTGGAAATCAAAATATTTGTCAAAAAGAGGTAAACTTACATTGAAATAGAATGTTTTGTCTTCACTCCCTATTTATTGTCTGTCCTTATTTAAAATCCTTGCAAGCGTTGCAAAGCTTCTAGAAAAGAAAATGAGGACCTTTTATTGGGCTGGTTGGAGAAATAAATTTAAATTCAACTTGATGAATTGGAAATCTGTGCGTCAACCAAGGAAAGTTGGTGGTTTAGGCATCAAAAATGTTAAATCTGTTAACAAGGCCTTTCTTGGTAAATGGTGCTGGAGATTCAGTGAAGAAAGAAACAGCCTCTGGAGAAGGATCATTGTAGTTATGTATGGGCTCACAAACCTTGAATGGGACTCAGGTCCTGGTCTTCTCCCAAGGGGTTATGCTCTTTGGAGTAATATTATTGTTGTTCTTCCTGATTTCTTGAAGGGCATCAGATACAAAGTTGGCAAAGGTAATGGTGTTGGGGCATTGCTCTGTGTGAAAGGCTCCCCTCTCTTTTTGACATTGCCCAAGATAAGTAAGCTATAGTCGAAGGCTGCTTTGAGTTGATGAATGGAGAAGCAGTTTAGAGCCCTACTTTTAGAAAAAATCTCAATGATTGGGAAATCAGTCCAATGACTGAGTTGCTAAGCCTCATTCAAAGCATAAAACCTAATCCTCAAACTGATGATGAAAAATTTGGTCTTGGGAGAACTCAGGTATTTTTTTCAATTCAGTCTTTCTACATCAACCTCTCAGCTAGGGAAAGGCTTTGATTTCCCTTGGGCTTTAATCTGGAATTTCCACATCCTGTTGAAAATAGCCTTCCTGGTTTAGAATGCAGCTCATGGTAGATGCTTAACTTCAGACCAGCTGATCAGAAGGGGGACGTATATTCCTAGTATCTTGTGTCCTTTATGCAGCGAGGTTCCTGAATCCTCCAATCACCTATTCATCCACTGTATCTTTGCCCATCAGTTGTGGGCAATGGCCTGGTCCTGTTTTGGTTTACATTCTTGCTCGCCCTGAATCAGTTCTTCAGCTTCTGCAGGGTGGATTGAGCATAAGGGGCCAAATGTTACGGAGGATTTTTCTGGATGCTGTCTTGTGGTCTTTTTGCAAAGAAAGAAATAGACACATTTTTTACAACAAATGTTCATATTTAGGTTCAGTTAAGAACAACCTTATAGGTTTTTCATGCTCCTGCCTCCAGGTTGGGTGTACAAAGAACTTTTCAGGATATCCAGCTTATTTCTTTTTTGCAAGCTGGACCTTTTATTGAGTGATTAGTCAGATCTTTTTGTATATTCCCATTGTGCAGGCTCTCATTGTACATGGGCTGATGTAATTGGCTTTTACCATTAATACAATCAACTATATATATATATATATAATATTTTAATCCTGTGGTTGTGACCTGAATATGGCATAGTTATTACTGCTCTAACTTTACGTGGGTTTATAATTTTGTTAAGGTAATCCGAGAGCTCAGTGGAGTGATTCTCACACGAGGTCCCAAGCTTTGTAACTTTGTGGAGTGGAGAGGACACAAAGTTGTGTATAAAAGGTAAAGCACAAATTCCAGTTTTGGTTTTGGATTCCAAATAACTTAAGGGCAACCCCTTTTGGAAGAAGCATTACTGGCTTCTTTGCAGAATTTCAGTCCATTTATTTCCTATAAGCATCATTTGTGCAGGTATGCCAGCCTCTATTTCTGCATGTGTATTGATCAGGATGACAATGAATTAGAGATCCTTGAAATAATTCACCACTTTGTTGAGATACTGGATCGCTATTTTGGCAGTGTGAGTACACTTAACAGCAAAACATAAATTGTAGTTTTTTGATTGACTATTATTAACTAGATGTTTATGGAACTTTCCTTTTTTTCTTTGCACCTTCATTAGGTCTGTGAGTTGGACTTGATCTTCAACTTTCATAAGGTATTTTCTTTGATCCTTATCTATGATTAGAGGTCAAATGATTTTTTATTTCTTTTTTCCATGTCTGAAGGATGATAATTTTATCAATATATAAGCTATATAAAGGATTCCTGTATGGAATGCAGAACTGGCTATATTACATATAGGTTTATTCATGGTTTCTGACTGTTGTTTTCAACAGTGAACTGATGCTATCAACCAGTAGGCTTTGTCTCCAAAACATGGACCTCATTATTAATTGGGCATGCCTTTTGAGTACACTGGAAGTCTGGAAGGAACCAGCCAATATCCCCAAGTAGAAAATATTTGACAACTATGCAAATCACAAAAAGGGTTTAACATTTGGAGTTTTGTTAGGTGGAACTTCTGCCTATATAAGGTGGGGCATGAACGCTAACAACCAATTAGATTTTAATATGATGACAGATGACCATCCTATCATGCCAGGTGTCTCGCTTTAATCAAAACCCCACCACTTTATCTAGGAGTCATATAGAAGGTATCCCATTATTTGAATAGTTCCAATTAATGCACAACTAAACCATATATAATATAGGCATTTAAGATGAAGTAAAACTTGTATAATGACATGGGTGCGAGTAATTTCTTTCTTCTTTTTCTTTGTGTGCATGTGCAAATTTGATAGGCCTACTACATATTGGACGAGATCTTAATTGCTGGTGAACTTCAAGAATCAAGTAAAAAAACAGTTGCACGGCTTATAGCTGCCCAGGTATTTTTCATTCCCATTTATGATGCTATTGATCCCTAAGATGCCTACAGTTGTTGAGTGAAATAGATTCTTGGGCTGCAGGATTCGTTGGTCGAGACTGCCAAAGAGCAAGCAAGTTCATTGAGCAATATGATTGCGCATGCTACCAAATAGAGCATCTCAATGTTGTTCTCATTGTCCACAATACATTGCAACCTCTCTTTATGCCGTCTGTTTTAATACTTCTATATTTTTTATTATAATGAAATACACAATTTTTCTTGTGCATATCATGTCTTATGATGGATCATAAATATTGTTCTTATATCTGTTTTTTAAAAGAGGTAAAAAGGCTATTCCATATTGCAATAGCCATTTGATCAACTAGGCCTATTGATTTTGTAGTTAGTAAGACTGTAAGAGTTGCAAATCCAACTGCATCTAGCTTTTAAAAAATATTCTTTATATTCACATTTGTGTCACTTGTGGCATGCATACACCATAGCTTTGACTTTGATATGATACTACCTAGTACATTATTTTCTTCCATATCATGTCGTGTAATAAAATATATATCCCAATGGTGATATTACCGTATTTCAAGAGAAAAAAGTTGTGAAAATACATAGGGAGAGGCCGATTTTCTGCAAATTCTAGAAAGGTTACTAAAATATACTCTACGAATTTGGAAGTAGCTTTCCAAGGAACAACCAATTTATAGCTTGCACATAAATTAAGGGACATGTTTTCTGTTAAGAATGGAGGAAGAAATACCATTGAATTGGATTAGGGGGCGGGGATAATCAATTCCATGAAAGGTAGATTTAATTGGTAATCTGGTATCATTTTTTATCCTCGTTTGCAGGGACCCTTGCAGTTGTAATCCATAGATCAATTTCCTGACTGCAACACTTTTGTCAGAAGTGTGAATTTAGTTTTCATGTCAGAGGGGGTATATGCCTCGATGCCTCATATTGAGAATGCCATTGCTATATGAGCCTATTTTATTTCACAATACACGTTATAGGGGATTAAGGGGTAGGAGTGTAGGACAAAGCAGGGTGCAGGTCCACTGACCTTACAACGGAGAGCCTAGAGGATTCCATATCTTAAGATTAGATCCATTTGGGGGTGTTGAACAACATGGTTGGTTTATCTACTGATGGTGATTCGGTACTCGGTAGGATCTGACTCGTACCAGCAAAATTCGAAAACAAAGCCATGTTGTTATATACACTCCTTGGTTGTCAAGAAATTGGTCCATGAGAAAAAGAAATTGGTTATGGTTATGGTTACCAGTTAATTGGTTGATTAAATCGGTTCAGCCCACGAAATGTTGACATTGTCAAACTTATCCCATTTACATGTATAATAGGTCGTTATACCATCAAATAATTGTTTTTTTTAACCAAAATAAGAACTGACAGCTCTGTTTAGAGAATAAATGTAGAGCCATCAACAAATACGCTATACTCTTCCATTAAAATTAAGGCTGCAACTTGGGCCGGGTTGGCCGAAACTCAACCCTAACCCAACTCGAAAAGGTTGGGTTGGGTTGGGTCGAGTTGATGTTCGGGTTAGGGTTAGGATTGAAATTCATGAACCCAACTTTATTTCGGATTGGGTTAGGGTTAACCCCTTAGCCAAGCCGAACCCGACTCTATAATATATGTCATATGTAATACATAACATACATTAATTTGTTTAGATGCATGATATTTGTATAACCCCCACCACATAGTATTATGTATTTCTTTTAAGATAATCACTTCACTTAATCCTAACCAGAAAGACAAACCTAAATAACATTATTTTATGTTTTTTGAAAATTTTATTCTTCATCTCCTCTATGTTGTTTGCCGCCCAAGAAAGACCTATCGTAAGCCATAACTCATAATAAACTAGTCATTTCTAACACTTGTTTTTCTGAATTTTGTACTAAAAGAACAAAAAAATAACGTCAACAAACAAATACTAATGAAACATAGGATTAATATATGTGTAAAAGTTGAGTTAAGATCTAAAATCGAGAAATTCTATGAGGTTTTAAAGGATGGGAAGAAGGTTGGGTTGGGTTGAGTTAGGGTTGAAGGAATTTAGTTAGGGTTAGAGTTAGGGTTGGGTTGGTTGGCTTGAAGGTCGGGTTGGGCTAGGGTTGGCTTCAGCACGACCTAACCCGGCCCGACTTGTAGCTCCAATTAAAATACGCAATGGAATTTCTGATTTCTCAGAGAGCTATTGTGGGCTTGTGGCAATGTGTAATTGTTCACCGATCTTACAATCCATATGGGATCCGGGGTAAGACCATGATGCAGCTTCCTGTTTCTCATTTCCCAAATCAGACGAAGAGCAATGGTCACTTTGTGCATATACTCTTCCCTTTCTTGTTTTGACAGGTGAGAAGTGTCTAAAACCACCTCTGACTCTGAACGTGTATATGAGGCAAAGTTGCCTGAAAATTCATTTCATGAAGGCCCACCTGCAATCCATACGGCCCTTGCAAGAGGGCAAGAGAAAAACAGATGATGTATATTTTCAAGGTCCATATAACAAAGAACGCAATGCTTTTCATCTTTCTTTAAGAATGTCAATTTGTCCCTAGTGGGTAAGGCGTCCCTGTAAAGCTTCCATAGGAACAGTTGAAAGTTGAAACCTGAAAGGAATCTTGAGGTTCCATACAGATCTCCATGGAATCACATGGTGTGAAATAGATGGTACGCTTCTTGTAAAACATCTGTAAGAAGACTTTTTGGAGTAGAGAAAAGAACCGGAATGCTTCCAAAGGAACTGATCATGATTGAGGTGTTGGTTGGGTTCTACTTTCATGACTGAGAGTAGTTGTGTTGTATGTTGTGCCTGTATCCCCCAGGCATAGAACGGATCCATGGGTCATCAAAGATATTGACTGCCATCTTTGGCTTGCCATAAAGTCATATTTGAGATACTTGGTTGTGGTTAGTATTTGCCTCCATTCAGAGAGACCTTGTTTTCAAATACTTTTTTGGCTCAATTAAGAGTCTCCAGATTTGTTCTGCAAACATCGATTGTTTCATTGCAGACAGCCTCCGGAAATCTAACCCCCCCCCTCTTTCTTGGGTCAACATAAATTTTCCCAGTTGAGGATATGAATATTTCTTTTCTTTTTTACTACTCCCTTTCCACCCGAAATGCCATTACAAACATTCCATTGCTGAGTGGTCGAGGACATGGAATATACTGGCAAGGCTTGAGCAACAGCCCTGTACCATTGTTGTTCGACCCGCTTGGGATAGCATGGAAGCTTTCCACATTGATAGCTTGTTCTTTAGAGGTCTTTGTAGGCTTGTATTAATGGACATTTGAAGTTTTGAACCACACAACATTGTGACTGAATCACCAAAACAGTTTTATGTCCATCCCAGCCCAATAACATTGATTACCACGGATCCTTCATCCTTATCTCTCTCCATGTGAACATCTTTCCAAGTTCAGATACGGTGCTGAAGAGTTGAAGTTCACCACATACAACTTAATGAAGGTACCGACTCAGGGGGTGATCATGGGCCTTGGGATGGGCTGGGCCGCGCTAGGAATGACCATCTTCATTTCATTGTACTTTATTTTTCCAAACATTAACATCTAATTTGTTATACGTGCACAAAATTAAAAAGCAGATGAAGAATGCTCTTCTAGTTTCCATGGTTGTAACTTGTAAATCACAAGAGACATCCTTTTAAATCACTACCATCTTGTTCTGATAGAGGCCCAAAATTGATTACTGTTCCATGAAATCATGCTATTCAACATGAAACCATGAATGCTATTTTTATCCCTAAAAACATATCACGTCAGCAAAAGATATAACACGTTTTATAACATGTTAACAAAAAAAAAATGAAAAACAGTTTTATAAGGAAAATACCCTTATTTCCGACCAAAAAAAAAAAAAGATGCTTTTAAAAACAGAAGCAACTTTTCATTCCCCAAAAAACTAACTTGGTACACAAACTCTCATGGATTTATACTAATCAACATTCACACGGACTTACGTGTAAAATATTAATAAAAAGTAAAAACAAGAAAGTTGAATTTCCTTTGTCAACTAAGGATGTTGCAGGAAATTCGTCGCACTAATTTTCCTTATTTAGAAAGTTATGCATGCTAAGTCCTAGATCTAGCAAAGATTCATCTATTAATTTAGTATTTTATCAAAAATAAAAAATAAAAAAGAAATTATATTGTTTCTGCCTTTTATTATGATTGGAACCTATCTTTTCACAATCGTGTTATCATAAACGATTATGATGAGGAAGATTTGGCCCGACCCCTTGGCCACCCAACACGTGAAAGCAACTAAGGGTGACTTGGTAGGAGCAACAGCTCGGTACGGCAGTACGCTCAAGACGCGAGCTCCGAGAGAAGGAACCAGCGGTCTGAGTCCCCCAAAAGGAGCCTGAACTCTCCCTTTGACCCTGAGCCTTACGAGGAGCGCAAAGGGCAACAACCCGAACTGGCCCACCCCAGGGCAGTTCGGGCCACACTTCTATCCGAACTCAAAACTTCACCTTGCACACCACTCCGGCACTTCGTCTCCAGGCCGCCAAACTGAACAACCGTACCTGACACCAAAGGAGTTCGTATCCTGAGGCGGCGCACCTGACTGACTTAGGATCTGATGCTTGACAATTGCACTTCAACGGCCACCTGCCACCGCCACCTCCAGTTACAGAGACGGCTCCGACAAAGAGAGCAGCGGCGGTTGTCTGCCCTAGCAGAGGTGATGACACCCGAACTGGCGGAAGTGCAGAGATAATGATACCCGACCTGACAGGAACTTGGGAGTGAGTGCGCGAAGTGGTTATAAAAGGCCCCCTTCCCCCCCAAGACGCCAGGGACGTGATAACTTTGCGCCATCTGATCTTTTGTCTTGCCTTTGAGAAAATACTAACTTGAGCTTCGGAGCATTCTCACCGGGTTCCTCCCCGGAGACTACTCGCTTTCTTTCTCATTTCAGGCACCTTTTGCTCCAGTCAGAGGAAAAATCGTTGACAGCTAGGACCGACCGGATTGCGCTCCATCAATTGGCGTCGTCTGTGGGAAACACTTCTAAAAGCCTCCCTCTAAAACTTTCATAGCACCTTTTGTCAACGAAACCCCAACACCTATGGCTTCTTCCAGCAATGTCGGACGTAGCACGAAGATGAACGCCACCGAGGAACAACTCCAAGTCCCCGTGGTGTGCATCGGACAGTTCACCATCCCCCTTCCGGTGGATGGGATCCCCAGCCTGAATGCGTCACGAACAGTGG